TCGTAAGGTTCCAAGGTTCGTAAGGTCGCAAGGTTCGTAAGGTCCCAAGGTTCGTAAGGTCGCAAGGTTCGTAAGGTCCCAAGGTTCGTAAGGTCCCAAGGTTCGTAAGGTCCCAAGGTTCGTAAGGTTCCAAGGTTCGTAAGGTCGCAAGGTTCGTAAGGTCGCAAGGTTCGTAACGTCGCAAGGTTCGTAAGGTCGCAAGGTTCGAAAGGTTCCAAGGTTCGTAAGGTTCCAAGGTTCGTAAGGTCGCAAGGTTCGTAAGGTCGCAAGGTTCGTAAGGTCGCAAGGTTCGTAAGGTCGCAAGGTTCGTAAGGTCGCAAGGTTCGTACGGTCGCAAGGTTCGTATGGTCGCATGGTTCGTAAGGTCGCAAGGTTCGTAAGGTCCCAAGGTTCGTAAGGTCCCAAGGTTCGTAAGGTCGCAAGGTTCGTAAGGTCGCAAGGTTCGTAAGGTCCCAAGGTTCGTAAGGTTCCAAGGTTCGTAAGGTCGCAAGGTTCGTAAGGTCCCAAGGTTCGTAAGGTCCCAAGGTTCGTAAGGTCCCAAGGTTCGTAAGGTTCCAAGGTTCGTAAGGTCGCAAGGTTCGTAAGGTCCCAAGGTTCGTAAGGTCGCAAGGTTCGTAAGGTCGCAAGGTTCGTAAGGTCGCAAGGTTCGTAAGGTCCCAAGGTTCGTAAGGTCGCAAGGTTCGTAAGGTCCCAAGGTTCGTAAGGTCCCAAGGTTCGTAAGGTCGCAAGGTTCGTAAGGTCCCAAGGTTCGTAAGGTCCCAAGGTTCGTAAGGTCGCAAGGTTCGTAAGGTCCCAAGGTTCGTAAGGTCCCAAGGTTCGTAAGGTCCCAAGGTTCGTAAGGTCCCAAGGTTCGTAAGGTCGCAAGGTTCGTAAGGTCCCAAGGTTCGTAAGGTCGCAAGGTTCGAAAGGTCGCAAGGTTCGTAAGGTCCCAAGGTTCGTAAGGTCCCAAGGTTCGTAAGGTCGCAAGGTTCGTAAGGTCGCAAGGTTCGTAAGGTCCCAACTGACACCTTACTAGGGGTTAGTGGCCCTCAGGTAGATCAGAAGGGGGTCTTAGTGCGCTTAAAGTGCTAATCTAGTCTATATATATATATATATATATATATATATATATATATATATATATATATATATAACAAAAGGCCAAAAACTAACGTTTTACAAAATGGCAGCGGCTCGCGAAATTGACGTGATGTCCCGTTTTCTGTTCGTGGGTCTTCGGGTGGGTTAGGTTCGGGCAATTATAGTCCAATAGTTAAGGCACAAAATGGTTCACGGACGATTCTAGTTTGGGCTGACAATTTGATTTCCATTTTTTGTTTATTTTTTATCTGGTTTTAAAATGAAACTCGTGATTTTGTTTTTTTTTGTCTTTGTGGATTCGTGAAATTATAAAATGTAAAGTAACACTGTTTTTATATTCTAGATTTGTTTTGTTGGTAAACAAACTTTTCAGGGGTAAGTAGTAGTCAGCTGTGCTGCTGTTAGCAGGTGTGGAGAAGTACCTCCCCCACACACACACCCTAGGGGGTTCCTCCCACACACACACCCTGGGAGTACCTCCCCCACACACACACACCCTGGGGGTTCCTCCCACACACACACCCTGGGGGTTCCTCCCACACACACACACACCCTAGGGGGCGCCTCCCACCAACAGTAACAAAGCGGCCACAATCAACGTAATCTCCCACATTTTTACGGCTCTTTATCGGGCCGTTCGTCACCGGAAAGCCACGTGACGCGTAACCGACTCGCTCTCTGAATTATTTATCCGGCTGCTGTCCGGTTAACCAAGCAGCACAAAAAGAAGTTCGGTAACTGAAAGAGAAAACGCGTCGCAAAGGAATGGTGGAGTCTAGAATGGTCCGATAGAATAAGGACCCCTGACGTTACACATACACATGTACACAGTCATACATAAAGACACATACATTGTCATACACACAAAGCTGGTGCACACCTACAGGTCTCCATCACAGGTGTGTGGGGAGCTGGGGGCGCCAAGATCCTGCCACGCTGGTTGGCTCTCCTTAGAGGTCTGCCTTTTTTCTTCATCTCCCAGACTCACAGACTACCAGACTCACAGACTAAAAGACTCCCTGGCTCAGACTACCAAGGCTCACAGACTACCAGACTCACAGACTAGCAGACTCACAGACTATCAGACTCCCTGGCTCAGACTACCAAGGCTCACAGACTACCAGACTCACAGACTACCAGGCCCTCAGTGTCACAAACTCATTGACTCGAAAACTTTGTGATAACTCCAGAAATATTTGAGTCATGATCTACGACGCTCGAAACATCATTTCAGATTCAAATCTGAAGCTGATGATTCGTGTTTAAAATGTTTGCATTTGTTTACAGTCTCCACGGCGGGATTTCCTAACTTCTGATTTTTCATTTCTCTTCTCTACCTTGCTTTGTGTTCATTCTTCGTGTGTGCTGTGTTCTGTGTTCATTCTTCGTGTGTGCTGTGTTCTGTGTTCATTCTTCCTGTGTGCTTTCTGTGTTTACTCTCCCTGTGTTCTGTGTTCATTCTCCCTGTGGTCTGTGTTCATTCTTCCTGTGTTCATTCTTCCTGTGTTCATTCTCCCTGTGCTCTGTGTTCATTCTCCCTGTGTTCTGTGTTCTGTGTTCATTCTTCCTGTGTGCTTTCTGTGTTTACTCTCCCTGTGTTCTGTGTTCATTCTCCCTGTGTTCTGTGTTCATTCTTCCTGTGTGCTTTCTGTGTTCATTCTCCCTGTGTTCTGTGTTCATTCTCCCTGTGTTCTGTGTTCATTCTTCCTGTGTTCTGTGTTCATTCTCCCTGTGTTCTGTGTTCATTCTTCCTGTGTTCTGTGTTCATTCTCCCTGTGTTCTGTGTTCATTCTTCCTGTGTTCTGTGTTCATTCTCCCTGTGTTCTGTGTTCATTCTTCCTGTGTTCTGTGTTCATTCTCCCTGTGTTCTGTGTTCATTCTTCCTGTGTTCTGTGTTCATTCTCCCTGTGTTCTGTGTTCATTCTTCTTGTGTTCTGTGTTCATTCTCCCTGTGTTCTGTGTTCATTCTTCCTGTGTGCTTTCTGTGTTTACTCTCCCTGTGTTCTGTGTTCATTCTCCCTGTGTTCTGTGTTCGTTGTTTACGCAACTTCAACACACCTCTTCCCAGCTCTTTTCCTTCCCTCTAATTTTATGTTTAATATTATTGACCAGACCATACACTAGAAAGTGAAGGGACGACGACGTTTCGGTCCGTCCTGGACCATTCTCAAGTCGATCGTGTCGATCAAGTCGATTCTCAAGACCATTGACAATCGACTTGAGAATGGTCCAGGACGGACCGAAACTTCGTCGTCCCTTCACTGTCTAGTGTGTGGTCTGGTCAACATATTTCAGCCACGTTATCGTGACTCCTCGTCTGCATATGGATAATTTAATATTGTTCTTCTCCTTTAGTCTTGTATTTCCTGTTCATCCTTCCCACTCTCTCTTGCTAGTTTAATGCTCATTCTCCTCTTCGTCCTCACGCTCCCACCCCCCACACCCCCACCCTACACACTCTCCCACCCCACACACTCTCCCCCCCCCCACTCTCCCATGTTCCTCCTCCTCCATCTCTATTCCTTCTTTCTCCCCGGGATCGTGTCATGTGGCAAATTGGAGTGCAAGGTTGAGAGCCGATTAATGGACAGTAGATGGATGGGTGGCCTTCCCAGCGGCACCAACCCAGCCACGGGCACTATAGGTGGTAAGTGCCCGTGGCACCCAGCCACCGGCACTGGGGGTCGAGGTACCTAGCCTCTCCCTCGATCTCCTGCTCCATCTTCGCCAGGCTCTCCAACTTGCGCCATCTCTTTCTCTCCCAGGCCAAACTTTTCATATTGTTATAAACTTAGGCTAAATAAAGTTTCTGGAGAAGTTGCCAAGCTAATTGCAAATGGATGATTCGTGACGAATAAATTTGTCATCAGTGTTGCAAGCTGCAAAATAAAGTAAAAATGAGAAAGTGGAAGAGATATTGCAAAGATACAGACGGGCGGAGGAGGAATGATAGATCAAACTAACCCTCTCTAATTGAAATTCTTCCCTTTCAATTAATTGGATATTTGAAAGGGAAAATAGAGTGGGAGGCCGGCGCTAGAGTGGCGCTGGAGCAAGGGGGCTCCTCCACTAACTATTTTGTCCACTGGTAGAGCTGTTAGGGCGAGATCCGCCTGTCCCGAGTTGACAGACAGAGAGGCAAGACAGACCTAAACTAAAAGGCTATTTTGTTGTTTGTTTAATTATTAAATGCGGAGTTCATCCTGCAGGTAATTATTTTTAGAGTTTGCATATACCCGCTTGTGGTTCCCGCCTGAAGACACCGCCACTAAGGAAGGGACATTCAACCATTGCACGAGCCATTGTACGAGCAATTTAACTGCATACAAGCGCGTGCGTGTGTGTGTGTATGTGTGTGTGTGTGTGTGTGTGTGTGTGTGTGTGTGTGTGTGTGTGTGTGTGTGTGTGTGTGTGTGTGTGTGTGTGGCGGTTCGTCGTGAGTGCAATAAATATGGCAGCAATGATGGCCACATGCCGCGGGGCTCCACCCACCATCCTCCATCACCCAAGGTCATCCTCACACTCCAGCCAGACCCCAAAGTCAACCTCGAACTCCAGAACACTCCAGCAGCCAGCCCCGAGGTCAACCTCCACGACCGTCATATCAAAGGCGACGAGTGTCTAACCTGATCATGAAGAGTAACTTCACCGTCCACACCTGATCAGGACATATTATACAGGTGTCGTAGGCTATGGATTTATAGTTTGAAAAGCAGGAACAAAGATTACTTGAGAAACAAATGAGAAATAAATACATATATACACAAATATCAAGAATAATAACAATAAAACAGGAAGAATGACAAGAAAAACTCACTGAAAAACAGTTCAAAACAGTATAATGAAACAAAATACGAAAGCTACAATGACCACAACACAACACGTGATGATAATTACAAATATAACTAGTAGGGTCCTACCTCTTCCCGTTTTCTTTGAAGGCGTGTGCTTGCCGCGAGGCCTGCCCCGTCTCTCCGTTGTGTAGTTCTTCTCCGTGTCCTCCCTGGTGGTGTGGTTGACCAGGTTGCCCTCCACGCCCTCGTCCCCGTCCTCGCCCCTCTCCCCCGCCTGCCCGTTCGTCGGCGAGCCCTGCGTAGAACCCTCCTTCGGGTTCCGGGGCTCGATTTCTGGCGGCAGAGATGAAACAAACTCTCACCAGACTGTTAAAAACACGCGTATGATCAGCGACCACAAGTATAAAAACCATCTTATTTAGCGACCAGCAAGGCATGAAGAGTGGCTCTCCAGCAGTGACCCCCCTTGACCTCTGACCCCTTGACCCCTCTACGTGACGACGTCCCCTGAGACGTAAAGACCGAGTCATTACCGTAGAGTTTGATGGAGCCGTCAGTCTCCCCCAGGCTGTTCTTGGCGATGCAGCGGTAGGTGTTGAAGTCGTCCTTGGTGAGGTTGTGGATGACGAGGCGCATGTTGGTCTTGTAGCTCTCCTCCTTGATGGTGGTGTCGTACTTGGCGCCTGCTGGAGGACCACGCTACTGCAGTTAAGGTAAACCAGTACAGAGAGCAAGGGTGGAGGGGAGAACAAAGGGGTCGGGGGAAGGGAGGCAAGAGAAGAGAGAGAGAGAGAGAGAGAGAGCAAGGAAAGAAGAGAAGGCGGTGAAAAAGAAAAGATAGAGAAATCCGTAGCAAAAATAGCAGTTCATAGCAAGTAAAATAATGGTGGGGATTCTCATCCTTAATCCCGAAGACCAGAGAGAGAGAGAGAGAGAGAGAGAGAGAGAGAGAGAGAGAGAGAGAGAGTACAGGAGGGGTAGAAGCAGACAAGAGTGGCGTGTGGCCGGCGGGTGACACGATGAAGGGAAGGGATGGGTCTATTGCGGTGGTGTCAGAGATATACCAATAAAACACTGTGTATGCGCTGCCTATTGAACCACTCTACAAACAATTCTTTCTTTAAATGCAGTAACACCAAATTCCCCCAAAATAGAGTACTTAGGTATTATGTGTGGGAATTAAGTATTTTTTAGTGTACATAAAAAGTAGGCATGTCCAGGATACATGATCATGTGATACGTGTTCCTGCTGTATTTGTGTATGTGTTCAGACGTGATGCACCAGCTTCTGTGTGGACATAAACTAGTGTGCTTCCTTTGTGTTTGGCTGGGGTGGGGAGTGTGTGCTGTGTGTGTGTGTGTGTGTGTGTGTGTGTGTGTGTGTGTGTGTGTGTGTGTGTGTGTGTGTGTGTGTGTGTGTGTGTACTGTGTGTGTGTGTGTATGTGTGTGTGTGTGTGTGTGTGTGCACTGTGTGTGTGTGTGTGTGTGTGTGTGTGTGTGTGTGTGTGTGTGTGTGTGTGTGTGTGTGTGTGTGTGTGTGTACTGTGTGTGTGTGTGTATGTGTGTGTGTGTGTGTGTGTGTGCACTGTGTGTGTGTGTGTGTGTGTGTGTGTGTGTGTGTGTGTGTGCACTGTGTGTGTGTGTACTGTGTGTGTGTGTGTGTGTGTGTGTGTGTGTGTACTGTGTGTGTGTGTGTGTACTGTGTGTGTGTACTGTGTGAGTGTGTGTGTGTGTGTGTGTGTGTGTGTGTGTGTGTGTGTGTGTGTGTGTGTGTGTGTGTGTGTGTGTGAGAGACTCAGTAGAAGCAACAACGCCCACCCCGGCCTGGTGGAGCATGGTGGTGGGGGAGAGAGTGAGGTGTGAAACAGCCCTGCACTCACTGGCGGCAATCATCTCTCCCTTGTGGTTGGTCCAGTAGTTGATGGAGTTTGGAAAGGCTTCTGTGTTGCACTTCAAGACAATGGTGTCTCCCATGCGGGCTCCTTCCAATTGGTTCGGAATCCACAGCATAGGTGGGACTGCTCGTTCCACGCCCATATCAAAGTTACACCACGCCCACGTTCCGCCCATATGAAAAGATAAAAAAAGACCGCCCGAACCGTAAAGTGGAGATAAAAACAAGAGACAATACACATAATATTATTACAAGGTCAGGAGACCTTGCCGATGGAGAGGGTCTGGCCCTCCAGCGCCTTTACCGCTGTAAACAACGCCCACAACAGTTAAATGGCGCACAATGTAATCACAAGGATATGATCTATGGGGAAAAATATTGGGGGCCGTTGAATGGGATCGAACCCACGTGCCTGGACTTCTGCAGGGCCGCGCGGTGTGAAATATATCATGCACATACATCTTCCCATTTAACGGAGGATGTTGGAACTATGATTTACCTTGCTGGAGTCATTCAGACTTAACTGCTGCGTTGGCCACTAGATTAAATTTATAAAATCAAGTCAATAATGTCATCAAAAACACACACACACACACACACACACACACACACACACACACACACACACACACACACACATACACACGTGATACCAGTCTTAGAGTATGCCGCCCCATCATGGAGTCCCCACCTGAAGAAATACATAAGGAAACTGGAAAAGGATTCAGAAGTTTGCGACGAGGCTCGTCCCAGAGTTACGAGGGATGGGATATGAAGAGCGCCTGAAGGAACTGAACCTTACGACACTACAAAAAAAGAAGGGAGAGGGGGGATATGATAGGAACGTTAAAAATACTCAATACTTCAAAATACTCAATACTAACAGACCGAGGGGGCATGGGTGGAAGCTGGAAACTCAGATGAGTCACAGAGATGTTAGGACATTTTCTTTCAGCGTGAGAGTAGTGGAAAAATGGAATGCACTTAAGGAGCAGGTTGTGGAAGCAAACTCTCTTCATAATTTTAAAACTAGATATGATAGGGAAATGGGACCGGAGTCATTGCTGTAAACAACCGATGGCTAGAAAGGCGGGATCCAAGAGTCAATGCTCGATCCTGCAGGCACAAATAGGTGAGTACACATAGGTGAGAGCACACACACAGTGGTATAAATTATACAGTTTATGAAAATATTCGCCTTGTCCTGGTAGTGGAATCCGGCTCAACACTCTAATATTGAACTCACTACTTAATGAAGCATTACAAACTTAATCTAGCGAAACGACAACAGTTAGTTAAATATAAGTTAGAGAAATAGAGATTATTCACACTGAAAACAGAGAAGAGCCGATTTAAATAACACCGTATGTTTCCACAACTCATCTGAGGTAGAACCCTTTTTAACTCATACTAGAACCCTTTTTAACTCATACTAGAACCCTTTTTAACTCATACTAGAACCCTTTTTAACTCATACTAGAACCCTTTTTAACTCATACTAGAACCCTTTTTAACTCATACTAGAACCCTTTTTAACTCATACTAGAACCCTTTTTAACTCATACTAGAACCCTTTTTAACTCATACTAGAACCCTTTTTAACTCATACTAGAACCCTTTTTAACTCATACTAGAACCCTTTTTCATTCACACTTGAGATAATCTTTTTTAGTTCATACTGGAGAGAAACCTTACTAGCTCATACTAGAGATAATTGTGTTTAACACACTGGATAGAGACCTTTTTACTTTACAGTGGCCGAGAATTCATTTTAACTCACACTAGTAAGAAACCTCTTGAACTCGCATAAGACAGACAGGATTATTTAAATCCAGGGAAAGGTTTAAAGTACTTACACAGGCGAGAGACCCCATAAATCACACTGGGGAAAAAATTGCCCATAACTCACACTGGGGGAGAAGCCCTATAACTCCTACTGGAGAGAAGAATTATAACTCATACTAGGGAGAAGCATTATAACTCATACTAGGAAGAAGCCCTATAACTCATACTGGAGAGAAGCATTATAGCTCATACTAGGGAGAAGCCCTATAACTCATACTAGGGAGAAGCCCCGTAACTCATACTAGGGAGAAGCATTATAACTCATACTAGGGAGAAGTCCTATAATTCACACTGGGGAGAAGCTATAACTCACACTGGGGATCATTACTCACATTGGGGATACTCATGCAAGTCATAGTAAGGAAAAGTCTCACAATTCATACTGGAGAGAAAAACAATAAATTAGAATAAATATATTCAAATTACCGTATAAGTTAATCTAATCATGCAAGTTTAACCTGAAAGGAGGATGACGCCAGTAGGCTACTTCCAAAAGTAGGAGACCAGGAGGCAGCTCGCACACAGGAAGACTACTCACACACACACACTTCGGAAAACACGAAGGCTACTCCTGAAGGGATAGGAGGCTGGAAAATCTATCCACACATGGACGAAGGGAAAGGCTATTTCACAAGGAGACAGGGGCTACGAAGAGCTACTCATAAGGAGACAGGGGCTACGAAGGGCTACTCATAAGGAGACAGGGGCTACGAAGGGCTACTCATAAGGAGACGGGGGCTACGAAGAGCTACTCATAAGGAGACAAGGGGCTACGAAGAGCTACTCACAAGGAGACAGGGGTTACGAAGAGCTACTCATAAGGAGACAGGGGCTACGAAGAGTTACTCATAAGGAGACGGAGGCTATGAAGAGCTACTCATAAGGAGACAGGGGCTACGAAGGGCTACTCATAAGGAGACGGAGGCTATGAAGAGCTACTCATAAGGAGACGGAGGCTATGAAGAGCTACTCATAAGGAGACGGAGGCTACGAAGAGCTACTCATAAGGAGACGGGGGCTACGAAGGGCTACTCATAAGGAGACGGAGGCTATGAAGAGCTACTCATAAGGAGACGGAGGCTATGAAGAGCTACTCATAAGGAGACGGAGGCTATGAAGAGCTACTCATAAGGAGACGGAGGCTACGAAGAGCTACTCATAAGGAGACGGGGGCTACGAAGGGCTACTCATAAGGAGACGGAGGCTACGAAGAGCTACTCATAAGGAGACGGAGGCTACGAAGGGCTACTCATAAGGAGACGAGGGCTACGAAGAGCTACTCATAAGGAGACGAGGGCTACGAAGAGCTACTCATAAGGAGACGAGGGCTACGAAGAGCTACTCATAAGGAGACAGGGGCGACGAAGAGCTACTCACAAGGAGACAGGGGCGACGAAGAGCTACTCATAAGGAGACGAGGGCGACGAAGAGCTACTCATAAGGAGACGGGGGCTACGAAGAGCTACTCATAAGGAGACGAGGGCTACGAAGAGCTACTCATAAGGAGACGAGGGCTACAAAGAGCTACTCATAAGGAGACAGGGGCGACGAAGAGCTACTCACAAGGAGACAGGGGCGACGAAGAGCTACTCATAAGGAGACGAGCGCGACGAAGAGCTACTCACAAGGAGACAGGGGCTACGAAGAGCTACTCATAAGGAGACGGGGGCTACGAAGAGCTACTTAAGAGCTACTCATAAGGAGACAGGGGCTATGAAGAGCTACTCATAAAGAGACAGGGGGTACGAAGAGCTACTCATAAAGAAGGCAGGCGGCTCTATGAAGACGTACTCACACTGGACCTTAAGCTGGATCCTCTTGCTGACGGAGGGTTGGATACCATTGGACGCGACGCAGAGGTAGGCGCCCATGTGGAGTCGGGAGACCTTGCCGATGGAGAGGGTCTGGCCCTCCAGCACCTTCACCGCTGTAAACAACGCCCACAACAGTTAGATGACACACAATGAAATCACAAGGATATGATCTATGGGGAAAAAAAATGTTGGGGCCGTTGAATGGGATCGAACCCGCGTGTCTGGACTTCTGCAGGGCCGCTCGGTGTGAAATATATCATGTACATACATCGTCCCATTTAACGGAGGATGCTGGAACTATGATTTAACTGAGGTAAAGGCTTATCCTAATTGGCCACTATGCTCTATTGAATGGTTTTTGCTGTTTGCGATGGAGACGAATTTGTCGATGAGATCTTTAGTCTGCTTAATATTTCTGGTTATATTAAATGTGTATATGTATACATGTATGTATGTATGTATGTATGTATGTATGTATGTATGTATGTATGTATGTATGTATGTATGTATGTATGTATGTAATGTATGTAATGTATGCATGTATGTATGTATGTATGTATGTATGTATGTATGTATGTATGTATGTATGTATGTATGTATGCATGCATGTAATGTATGTATGTAATGTATGTAATGTATGTAATGTATGTATGTATGTAATGTATGTATGTATGTATGTATGTATGTATGTATGAATGTATGTATGTATGTATGCATGCATGTAATGTATGTATGTATGTATGTATGTATGTATGTATGTATGTATGTATGTATGTATGTATTATATATATTATGTGACACACATATGTACTACATAAATACACACAGTATACTGACAGAGAGGAACAGTCCTCGCAGCTGAATGAACAGCGCTCGTGGGTCGTACAGTCTGATGGGCCCGGGTTCGATTCCCGACTGAGGCAGAAACAAATGGGCGCAGTTTCTTTTTCCCGATGCGCCTGTTCACCTAGCAATAAATCGTTACCTGGGAGTTAGACAGCTGCATCCTGGGAATGTGTGTTTGAGAGAAATACATGTAGTAGATGTGATAGAGGGAAATAGATCGGGAGTCAGACATTAGACAGCCGGCGGTTAGAAAGGCGGGGTCCAAGAGCTGTCAGTCCTGCAGGCATAAATAGTAAAATACAAATAGTAAATACACAAACAGGCGCGCATATGTGCCCACAAAAAACTTTTAAAAATCTAGAGTGAAGGACTGGGCAAGAGTGAAGGACTCTGTGAACTCTACCTCACCATATTGGAGAGAAGGAGTAGCAGGTTGATATGATAACTAACAAAATTCTACGAGTAATGAATAAAGTGAACAAAGAAGCTACATTTCCCTCTCAGAATACCTCGTAATTAACCCCCTCATTCCTACTTCCCAGCATCTAGATCACAACCACTAGTCTCTACCTCCCTCTCTCTCTCTCTCTCTCTCTCTCTCTCTCTCTCTCTCTCTCTCTCTCTCTCTCTCTCTCTCTCTCTCTCTCTCTCTCTCTCTCTCTCTCTCTCTCTCTCTCTCTACCTAGTCTCTCCCTGTAGGGCCCTGGAACTTCTCTGAAGATAATCTCCTTCCCTCACTCACTTCACCCAGTCTACCCAACACCCCAGACTCTTCAGTAAACTCACTCCTCCTAACCTCTTGACTTCCCTACTCGCCTTGACCAACCCCCCACAGATACACACATCTCTCTGGGGTTATTAAATATGCATAAATCTGCTATGATACAACACCATCCACCTGCCCCAGAGAGTTCACTGTCCTACTTCATCTCCCACTCACAGTCTTATTCAGCCTTTGTGTCACATATTGTATGCTGAGTGCGGCCCGTGCATGCGCCAGAACATATATGAAGAGAAAATATCACGAAAGAACATATCACGAAATGATCTATGCTGCTGATCACATTAATGCTGAAAAGTCATAAAAGTTGGTGTGAGCTTCGTAAAATACAAATTGTTCATACGATGGTATCTGAATATCAATTTTTTCAAGCTTTTGACAAGATTCTTGTCAATATTCCTCAGCATTTTCCATGATGGCTTCTGCTAATTCTTCTCTTCCAAAATCTTTAAGAAGGTATGCATAATCTTTATCAGGTGTTAGAGGTGCATGTTTTATCCCAGCGTTACTGGTGGCGTCACAGGCATTTAGTAAATGAACAGGTAGTGGTTCAATAATTAGTTTCTCTACGACTTCACACATATATATGTGCTGGAATATACCTTATTGCGTGTGTGTCCTTTCCCAGAGAGTTCAAAGTTTCTTCAAACCACTTGACTTGAACACACTGCAAATATAGATTACACACACACACACACACACACACACACACACACACACACACACACACACACACACACACACACACACACACACACACACACACACACACATGTGGGGTCTGATGATGTTTCTACCCAGTGAGGTCCACAATTTCCAAGAGTGACGTTGGGTCGATGTTGAATCAACGTTGATGACGCTAATTTGGTGTTGGTCTTGGATGTGGTGCCCAGAGGGAAGAAGACCTTTGACATTGGCAGCCTTAACAGAGTGATTTATGTGAAGGTTCAGTCGTCTAACAGTTTCTTTTAGAGTAGATGTTGACTCTGGTACTTGTGTGTACTTGTGTGTAACTAGGTGTTCTTGTACTGTAGGGGCTTCTTCCTCGTCCATATCACTCACACTTATTCTTGACAGTCTGCCTCCGTGTCGTGGGAGACAGGATCGAAGAATTTCTGAAGTTGAATTTTAGTTTGGATTGATGCCAAAAATAACTTCAGTAAACTCTCCAAAGGTTTTCATAAAACTTGCAGCAGCCCCAGCAGCAGCCCCAGCAGCAGCACCAGCCCCAGCACCAGCAGCAGCAGCAGCAGCAGCCCCAGCAGCAGCACCAGCCCCAGCAGTAGCAGCCCCAGCAGCAGCAGCCCCAGCAGCAGCCCCAGCCCCAGCAGCAGCAGCAGCCCCAGCACCAGCAGCAGCAGCAGCTATGGTACAGGCATGGAGTATACAAATCCAGTACTGTTGTGGATGGAGGACTCTGAAAGGCTTAATTTGACATACCTCTCAATTCATTTTCTATCTCTTGGACCATTAAAAAAAAATTGTGCTGCATCTTTTGTTATAAAGAACGATGTACTTGTTGGCTCAAAGGTTAAAAGTGTATCAATGGAATAACCCCGATCTCTTGCGATTTCAATTATTCCCTAAGTATGAGAAGTTTGTTTGGCTGCATCAAAACTTTTCGGTTCATCTTTTCTCTTAAAAATCTTTTTTTCTCGACAAAGGATCAGGCGATTTCTTAGACTTCCGCATGAAGACTTCATCGTGGAATTTATTTTATTTATTTTATCTCTCAATGATGCATGTTAGTATAATCTTTCTTTCTTCTACTAGCAAGTGCTTTCCTGTTGCACAGTCGAGACGTGGTCCTGTTCTACTAGAACAAAAGGGTCATACCTATCATTAATGAAACTGGCCCAATTTCTCAATGCCCTCATTATCCTGTTGTGGTTACGATGTCCGAAAACTGGTGATACAGAGCATAGTCACCAGTTTCAGCAATTCCACAGATTCTCCTATGAAGCATGTTCAGTGAATGTGTTTCGTGCTCGATTATGCCTTGCAGAGCTACGACCTCTTGTCTTCGGGTCACACCAGCTATGCCACCTTGTCCCTTTGCTGGCTTGTTGTGGCACATCTCCGAGCCTTGATCCATACCTATACTGCTCAAATTCTTGTCTCCGCGCTGAACTACAAATCCACATTTCCTAAATGACTCAAAAGGTAATAGGATGTTTTTCTTTGAGTTACAAGCAATCTTCGTGGTAAACCGAGCAGTCTAGATGATAAACCATTTCTTCTTTTTCTAGAGTTCCGTAAAAATCGGTATCGTCACAAGTCTTGGAGATTACGGTCACTTTCTCTATGTCATTTTCAGTCCTTGTCGCCTACTGCTCCTGTTACACACTTTTCATGTACTCTCTTTTTCCCTCTTTTGGCAGCTGGTGCAAGTTGCTCTCTCTTCATGGGGTTATTAAATGGAATCTCTCATAAAAGGATCACACAATCTGAAACAAACCTAAAAAGGGTAATTAAATCGTAATATATTTTCAATAAAACAAGTAATAACAGGTAAACCATCATAAGAGTGTATTATTACAGTGTAAAAGAACTGTTCTAAATAATTTGCCTCTGTAATTTTCAGCTGGTAGCAGCCGTTCCCGAGATATGGCCCTTTTCTCGATACAAGCCCAATTGGACCTGGCGGCCATACTGGAAAAAATATCTCATACCAGAATTGCGAACCCATCCCAAAAATCATCCCTAGACATCGAGGAAACATTTCATGAAGGTAACAGCTGTTACAAAGGTCAACAACATCCAATGATGGTTGGTATAGAGGGTGAGAAAATACCTAAGGAACAAAAGAGAGTAACAGTGGAGGAAGAGGTAACGTAACGCAAAACATGTCACCAGGAGCACTCTGGAACAACATATCCGCGTCGTAAGCAATTCCGGCGTCATATTGGAGTCTTCACCTCATTAAACACATAATAAAACTTTGAAAATTCGGGGTGTGCAAGAACAATGGTCCCAGACATAACACTGTGGAACGAAGCTAGGCTGGTATCACTTCAAGACAGAACATTGAGACGAGCTGCAGTTGAAATAGCAGTCGGAGGTATATTTGCACACTTTAGGAAGCTATAGATCACGACGGGTGGACACTGGACACTGTAAACAAACAGAAACTGTAAAGAAACGATATACATTGTAGAAATTTTGATTAAATAAAGACCTTTGTAAATATGGGTTTGGAAATGGGGTTGTTGATTTCTAGAACAAATTACCGGGTAACAGAGTGGACGAGGGACTGGTGGATTCTTTCAGGCGTTGATTAGAATATATCATTATATAAAATGGAGTTTGGATGAATATATGCAAGGAAATTCCTCACATTGGCCAATAGGCCTTCTGTTATATTTGTCAAGTGTTCGCAGAGTAACTGGACAGACTTAGTAAGGACAGTAGTTGAATATAATTCAATCAACTAGAGATCCTAGTTGGAGTTATTACACCCGAACTACTGGCAACTAGAAAGATCAG